GCCAGTGAGAGACCTATCCCCGACCCGAAGGCGCAGGGAAGCAGCCCTCTCGTTCACCGGGGTAAACTCCAGCACATGGCTGGGGAGCTATGAGCGAGCCCACACCAGCCTGCCGCCTCTCACCGCAGGCAACTCCAGAGTAGTAGAGTCCAGCCTCTCTCGAGGAGTAAGGTTCCAGAGCCCAAGCTGTGTGTGGAGGTGAGCCCGACTATATCTAGCCGGTACCTCTCAACCTCCTGCACAAGCTCGGGCTCCTTCCCCACCAGCGAGGTGACATTCCATGTCCCCAGGGCTAGTCTCCGTGTCCAGAGATCAGGTCGTCGGGGCACCTGCCTTCGACTGCTGCCCAATCCACTGTGCACCGGCCCCTTACGGATTCTCCTGCAGGTGGTGGGCCCACGGGAGGACAAACCACTGCAAACCACTTCAGGAATAAGAGGTATAATGAATGGATGTACTGTCACATAATTGTTGCTTTTAAGTAATTTATTTGCATTGTATTGTTTTCTCATTGTTTGCATTTTATTGTTTTATCCATTGTGTTAAGCACTTTGAACTGCCTTTGCGTATGAAAATGTGCTATATAAATAAACTTGAATTGCGTTATTAGCAACTAGCTAACTGCAAGCACTCATGACTGTAGCTAATTAGCTGTTAATAATGGTATCCATCTCATAGTGTTAGCTAAATAGTAATTATATAAATAGAATAAAGAAGCTCCAGGGTTTGGTTTGCATCCCAACACTCCAGCAAACCTGCTGAAACAGATACAACTTTCACATCCCTAAAAACTCAAAAGGAGGTGGTGTTCAATTAAGTCAGAAGAGTTTTTCATAGCATGGAAAGATAGTTTAATAACATATAAAAAAGCCCCTCGTAGTGCCAGAACCACATTTTATTCATCACTGATTGAGGAAAATAAGAACAACCCCAGGTTTCTTTTCAGCACTGTAGCCATGCTGACAAAGAGCCACAGTGCTGTTGAGCTTAACATTCCCTTAGATCTCAGCAGCAATGACTTCATGAGCGTCTTTACAAATAAAATCACAACTATTAGAGAAAAAATTGGTTGGACCATTCCCACAGCTTTCATGGATGTGCCATCGACTACAATGGCTTTAGAAACATCTGTGAGACCTCATTGTGTGGATGCACATCCACACAATGCTCTCCTGTTCTTTATTATTCTGGTTTCTACCACTGTTCTTCGGCACCTAACTCCTTCCACATACTTTCACCTAGAAGGGCCATTGAGGTATCAAACTGCTTATCTCCTTAAGGACATGTGTGCTTGTATACAACTTTTTTATCACTTTCATACTTTTTAAGATATTCAGCTTTTTTTTTTTTTTTACAAAAATTTCCCCATTGGAAATTAATTGGGCAAAATTGGAAGCTTAATATCTCCGGCATACCTTGGGCTAAAAACGCCATTTCAACTTTATTCAACTCGTGAGACATTCAGCTACCAATGGTGCAAAAAACATCTTGATATCTTTCATGGTTTTTCTTTTATAATCGACATTTATATTTTGTCTATTTGTCCATAGACAAAGCATGGGCCAATACTCTTATCTGCAATGCCATTGGCAGCTGTGCGTCATGTGACCCCCCCGGTCTAGCAGCCATCTCTATGCTTCTTCTCTTCCTCATTGCTTTTGTGCTCCTATTATGCCGTTCTTAAGCTTTATACACATATAATAGATGACGATCGTAGAGAAAATTGTCACGAATTCAGCTGTCAGTGTTACTGAGATGGAATGAATGGTATTTGCGTAAGTCGCACATTCCAGGCATACTGTCTCACTGCTCCATAGACTTACGGTCAATACAGAAGATCTGCGGAAACAAAATGTCAACGACAAATGAATGGCGAAATTCTGCTTCAGCATACTTTTAGCTATTTCAGGTATCAAAATATTCAGGACATTCATGCTTCTATTCAGACATTTTCTCAACTTCATACTTTTGAAATATTTAGCTTTATTTTGAAAATCTTCACCAATTGAAATGAATGGGAAAATTCTTCAACATACTTTCAGCTGTTTCAGCTATTAAAATGTTCACCTCCTCAAGGACATTCATGCTTCTATTCAGAGGTTTTCTAAACTTCATACTTTTAAAAATATTTAGCTTTATCTTGAAAGTTTTGCCCCATTCAAATGAATGGGAAACTTCTACTTCAGCATAATTTCAGCTATCAAAATGTTCAGCTCTTCAAGGACATTAATGCTTCTATTCAGAAGTTTTCTAAACTTCATACTCTTGAAATATTTAGCTTTATTTTAAAAGTTTTGCCCAATTCAAATGAACAGGAAAATCCTACTTCAGCATAATTTCAGGTATCAAAATGTTCAACTCTTCAAGGGCATTCATGCCATTATTCAGAATTTTGCTAAACTTCGTACTATTGAAATAATTAGCTTTATTTTGAAAATCTCACCCTATTCAAATGAATGGGGAAATTCTACTTCATCATACTTTCAGGGGCATTTCCGGTATCAAAATATTCAGCTCCTAATGGATCTTCGTGCTTCTGTTCAGGATTTTTCTAAACTTCATACTTTTTAGACTATTTAGTTTTATTTTGAAAAATCTTGCTCCATTCAAATGAATGGAGATATTCTACTTCAGCATACTTTCAGGTATCAAATGTTGAGCTCTTCAAGGACATTCATGCTTGTATTTATTTCATTTCATCCTTCAGATTATTCAACAAAGAATTGCAGCCGTTTCTTCTCAACTATTTTAACAAAGAAATTCAGCAATTTCTGCTCATCCTCCAGCTGTTTCAGCAATTGATTTCAGGCATTGTCAGGGCGATCCTTCAGCATTACAGCATCCACACGCATTTTCGATAGGAAATGCATTTCTCTAGTTTTCATATAAATTAGCTTGTAGTCTACATTACTAGGAAACAAAAGGAGTGTCATTTGCTATTTAGCAACGTTTCGTTATTGATCCGGAAACTGCGGATTTGTGAATATCTTTCCAACTTTACCGAAGTCGGCCACTATAACATACCGTCGTCAGCACACTGATCGAAAGGTATTTGCACCTAATATGAGCTATTTCAGTAAGTCAAGCACATCGTAATGATCTAATATGACTTTACTCCAAAGATAGTGTACACGGATTCGCTCAAATATTGCTAGGGACATTTCTGGCCTCCTAAAATATCGGTAGGGACATGTCCCTACTGTCCATATGCAAAACTACGCCCTTGTATACTGCTAATTGTGCACTCCCAGCAGCAGCACAGCTACCGTAAGCCCAGAGGGGGAAACGTGTGTCTCCTGCTGCACTGCTTAAAGCTAAACTTTGTCACACATGCTTTAATTTAACCTATATAGCTGGTAGTTAGTTTGGCATCATATGAAAGACGGGAGGACGTTAAAGCTTTTTGTCATTATCGGACTTTTGCGAACAACAGATAGCTATTTCCTGGGGTTCAGCGGTTAGCGTTACCTGCGTAAATTCGATTCATGTACTAGTGTATATACACTGTTCCGTTCAATTTGGAACAGCACTAGTTTTAATAGTGGGGAACCACATCTCGACAAGGGAACAGACTTCGATATAACACCAATATAGCCCTCTTAAATTAGACGGACAGGCTTCCCGGCGTCTAGTTTATGACATGTTCGCGGACCCCTTGGAAAACTCACTGCAATAACCGTCTCCTTGATTAACTGAACAAGAATTTCAAACCACAGTAGCTCTTGCAGCATAAGTAAACACTAACATGTCACTCTGTCCGACACAATACAGGCCTCGTAGTAGCAGAGCTGAAAGCACTGTTACAACTTGATTTCACCATTACATGATTGCTGTCTATAAGCAGCGCGGCCTCATGAGTGCTGGAATGACGGAATGGTTTATGTACTACACCGTACCACCGGTTAGCAAAACATCTACAAGACCAATTATTTACCTGCTGGGGCGGCGGCGGCGTGCTAGTCTGAACGGTCTCCGTTATTGTCTCACTTGATGTCCCGGGAACCTCCGCCATCCCTGTAGCTGCTTTGCTAACACTACAGTTAGCTAGCTTTAAAACGTCCAAGAACCACAGGCGACCACCAGTGACACTGTCTATACTGTAACGTTACGATATCTAAAATGGCAGACCCTGGTTCTCTAAATCATGAACGGTGTTAAGTGCTGGGCAGTGACTGGTGAGATGTGGCTAACACAATGTCAATCTGCAAAACTGAGTTCGTTTATTAACTAGAGTCAAAACGGAAGTTTTATGTTTCCACGTGAAAACCAGCCTATGTGGAACATGGCGTTCCACAATTGAAAAGCAACACGCCAAAACACTGAGATATATACTATTTGTACCTGGAACAGCATTTATGACATTGATATCGCATATTTGTGAACATTATTTTGGTAAGTAATTTTATTTTTAAATATACGCAGGACGATTTGCTTCTTTTTTTTGTTTAACTTGATAGCAGTAGTGTTGTGGGGAAGTTATTTCCAGACGGACACCGGTATTTTCTGTTGTCCGTAACATTATAACAGTCCGCCACCAAACAGCATACTCACGCCGAGAATATTGGGAACAGTATATAGCAGTGATGTGAACGGTGGCGGAAATGCAGCTTAATGTTTGATGCCACCCGCCATAAGATAAAACGAAGACGGAGAATGATATGAACTGACGAAGTTATTCTACGAGATGATACAGTGGTGTAATGTTTGTATATAATTGGTAACATTACAGAAATAATTCTCCCTCCGGTTTACAGTGACGGAGTAGCTAAATAATAAAAAAAGGTCGCGACCGGTGTCTGAACACTCACTGTAACGTTACTGAAAACACAGTAAGTAAACATCGTTAGCTAACATAACTGCAACTGCAGATAAACTTGTTTCACGTGTAACTAACTTATTAGCCACATTCTCTGAATCAGCTGTAGTCTTTCATATACCCTTAAATGTGATTCTGCGTGTTGTTTCTTATATAGTGTTGAGGATGCGGAGCGCATCTCATATCCTCAATCTGATGCTGTTAAGGAGAGGCTCATCCAGACTCTGTTCCTGCAGTACTCCAAAACCTTCATCATCCCCTTCATCTCAGTCAAATTCTTCTCCACGGACCCAAGTTGAACAACAGAGGCGTAGACGTGAACGGGAGGAGGCCATATTGTCAAGTCGACACAGTGTAAGTGGGAAAGAAGCGCCGGGGAAAATGACCTGCAATAAACAGTTCCATGAAAACAAAACATAGGTAGTGTAAAGTTCTGAAAGACATCAATATCAGCTGGTTGATTGGTGATGAAAGCTGGCATTGTACAGTCATCTGTCACCAGATCAGCCAACAGCAACATTTTAAATGGCTGGAAATGAGCAAAATGAGTATGCCATGGGCACTTTAAGAGTTTTGGGGTCTTGTTCATGAGTGAGGGTAAACTTGAATGTGAGAATGACAGGCGGGTAGTGTAATCCTAATCATCAGCAGTAATGTGAACATTGTGGTGAAGAAGGAGATGACCTGAAAGGCAAAGCTCTCAATTCACTGGTGAGTCTATGTGTCAACCGTCACCTATGGTCACCAGCCGTGGGTAGTGCAAACATTCAAGACAATTACAAAGGTAAGGATACAGAATAAAACGCAAAAAGACAAACTGGTTACAAATCTCACATGGTTACTCAGGCTGAGTAAATGCACTTATTACTTTCCCATGTCAGATAGTTAATGAAAATATAATGTGGATAAACATAATTATTGGATTGGAATTGTATTGGCAGATACTTAATATTAAATGAACTGAATCTGTATCGGAGCAAAAAAACAAAATCTGGATTGGGACATCCCTAACAATAAGAAATATTTTTTATTTTAATGGGGAGAGTTGCTGCGGAAGTTCATTAGCAAGCCACCCTGTTGGTCTGCCGCAGCTGTCGAATCAGTTATTTTCATGCCCATCAGCTGAATGTGTTGTAGTCACCACTAACTTGGTGTTTTTTCCTCGGCAGCCTGGTTGTCTGTCACCCTGGTTCGATGCCTGCTGCAGCTGCAGTGATAGTTAATGTGTTATTTGCCATGCATCTCTCTCTTCAGATATCGCTACACTGGACAGTGCGTTTTGTTCAATTTTAGCTGCGTTGTCAAACAGCATGTGTCCTGTATATGACACATTCAAAGTGCGCTGGATGTTAATGTGTCATGTTCACCTGTTGTGTAGTGGAAGTATTGTGATAGAAATTGGATGGATAAAATAATTAGCCTAATGCAGCAAAATAAATATTGGCCAAACCAATACTTCATCTCACTGATGCAAAAATCATAAAAAGTTAATTATGGCATAGAACAACTGCACTATCTTAATACACCGAGAGACATGGTAGTTATTGTGAAATAAATGGTCCAGCAAGAACAACTGAAACTTGAGCCAACCCCATTTAAACTCTAATATTTTTGTTTCCAGACTCCTGAAGATAAAACCATGAAATGGAGTGATAAAGAGAAGATAGTGTACACTGCTCAAACCTCTCCTGGGACAAAGAAAGGTAACTGACTTAAGACAGACTTATACTTCTGCATGTATGCTAACATATGTGTCTGTCGGTCAGAGATGGTCGCATAGCTCTTAACATTCTGACTAGGGGGCATTCAAACCACGTACAGAAAATTTAGATGAAATCAGGAAATGGCAGAGATTTTGGACCATGCTCAAACCTGTAATAAATTTTGTCCTAGGACTGGTATTATGCCACTTCATTGAGTGTTGATATTTTTCCAGGTGAGAAAGTAACCATTTAGGTTGAGAATAGGTGGTCAATTTTACCAAGTAATGCCATTGTAGAGACTGCTCTGACATTTTCAGAAATGTAAGTACCTGCTAGAACTCCAGTTAGCAAACAGATTAACCAGTTGGTGTGCAAGACGTGCAGCTCTGTGTTTACTCATAAGCCCCTTTTGCTGCGTAGGTACAGTATATTTCAATACCAATGTGTAGTTGCAGACAAGTATAAATTCAGCTTTAGTCATTTGTATACTGGTCTATCTGTCTCTCTCTGCAGGCTTAGAAAAGTTCTGCTTTTCTTTGCAGACACCAGCCTGCCATTCCCATCCTCGTACAGCCCGGAGTATGTGGAGCACAGCTGGTATCAGTGGTGGGAGAAAGAGGGGTTTTTTACTCCAGAGCAACATGTGAGGACTATATAACAGAACAACACATAAAATTATAACAGTTTCTTAAATAATTCCATTATTAATAAATAATGGTTAATGAAGAACAGATGGTTTCAAACACGCTCCTTTCAAACTTCAACATGTCACACTGTCATGTCCATTTAGGAAAGGTTACCTCAGGCCGTGGATAAGACCTTCTCTCTCTGTATCCCTCCGCCAAACGTGACTGGTACTCTGCACCTGGGCCATGCTCTGACTGTAGCTATAGAAGATGCTCTGGTTCGATGGTAATTACCAATATTATATGTATGAATTTATGAATTATTAATTGTCACCAGTGGAGAATTAGATTGTTTGAGAATGCTTATCTGTTGATGTACTGTAGCAGTAACATAACAGTTTGTAATCTATCAGGAGGCGCTTCAGGAGCCTTCGGAACAAAACCAGTAGACTCAGGAACAGCTTCTTCCCCACAGCTGTCTCCTTACTGAACTCTGTCCCCCGTTGACCCCACCCCCCACTACCTTCCTCTATACCACTGCACACACCTCACCCCTTCTCATCTCTCCTCCCAGGACTAATGCACTAATACACTTCTGTTACCTGTAACACTGAAGTGATTTGTTAATTTGCACATACTCTACTCACAGAATACTGCTCTGTATTCATTTGCACATTGTTCATATGCTGATACTGTATATTTATCTTATATCTTTGCACTATTTACATCCATTGAACTGTTCACTCATGTAATTTATCTTCTTATTCTGCACTGTTTCATTCCATCTCATCCCATTGCACCAGTGTTCCATAAGCTTAATGTACCTTATCCATTACTTGTAATTTAAATCCGTAGTCTGTTGTACATCATACATTACCCTACAATATCATTACCCTAAATATCAATTGTACGTATCCATCAGTAACTTAGTTCTGACTGTACAGACTGTAGATACAGCACACTCTGCACTGCTGTTATTACACTTCTGGTTAGATGTCAAACTGTATTCTGTTGCCTTGCACTTGTACATGGGTAATGACAATAAAGTTGAATCTAATCTAATCTACTCAGGAGAAGGATGCAAGGTTACAGAGTACTGTGGGTCCCTGGATGTGACCATGCAGGTATTGCAACACAGGTAAGACAGCTTCCCCTGTCTTCTTTTTGCATAACAGTTTGGGAATTAAAAGATAGGCTCACATGTCCTCAAGTCACAAAACAAAAAAAAGTTTCACATGCTGATAGGTAAGTTGAAAGCATTTCATCTGCTGTAAATGTTCCTTCTGTTCAAACTGCTTTAGATGAGATCCTTCTCTAATCTAGTTCTCATGTTCATAAATGCATTAGAAGATTCAACAAAAGCCATAATGAGATTTCAGTCTTCTGACCTGTATAAATCCAGTGTATCTTTCAAGGTTATGGAGTATTTTTAATACAAAATTACCTTTTTGTAATACTATTCAGCAGTGTAATATAACGAAGTAGTAATACTTCGTTACAGTACTTAAGTATTTTTTGGGAGTATCTAAATTTTGTGAACTTTTACTTTTACTTCACTACATTTCCTAAATAAAATGTGTACCTTTACTCCGATACATTTCCACCTCTGCCTTTCCGTTACTTACTACAAAATTAAAAGGGGAAAAAAAGTCACGGTAAAGTAGGTTTCTATCTAGTGACGTCAGGTTACAGTACACGCACAGGCCTGTCGGGTGTGAACAGGTGCAAGAAAGCGGCTCCTCACCAAAGCTCTGTTGTGAAAACTGCACCGTCATCTAGCAGCACAGGTGCTGGCCCACCTACACCTACGTCTCCAGCAGACTCAGATGACCACCCGTGGCCATATCTGCAAGAGATGTTTTCATTTCTTGGCGTGAAGGATTCCTCATCCTCCTATGTCTGCCAAAGGACACTGAAATACTGGCTTTCAAAAACTCACCATCCAACCTCAAGAAACACATTGAGGTAAGTTAATTAAAGTCATATGTAATTAATATATTAAGCACTTATTAGCAAATGTTATGTCATTACAGTAGGCTGTCTAATTGTTTAATTGTTTTTGCTAACATGAACGTTAGCTGTAAACAAAGCTGAGATGTCTGGCTAACGTGGTTATTAGTTAACGTTAATTGTTATGGATGCTGATTCATCATCCATACCTTGTTTTCCTGGTCTTT